CAATATGGTTCATGGGGTCACGAAGAGTCGGACACGACTTAACGACTAAACAACTAAACAAACCCCCTGCCAAAATAAAAGGCATTATAGAGATATTATGGTGCAGTGGGATGGAAATGCCATGGATAGAGGAAAAAAATTAGAAAAGAGGCTGTAGAAGGCCCAAGGATCAGGGAATCAGAAATAGAGCTGCAACAGACCTTTAGTGTTGCAGAGAGAAGTCAGCATTTCTTTGGATGGCTAAGAGACCATACTGTTGAATGGAGAGAAAACAGTAGGCTGCCTTGACAAACAGATGGCTTCAGTCTGTCTGTCTGTCTCTCCAATCTACTTACATAAATAATTATTTATATATGTAATCTCATTCTCTATCTATATATATCCCACAAAGTGAAAAATGCTGTATCACCACATTATGCTTGTTTGTGTTACAGTTTTAACACAAAATTGTTCATCTGATTATCAGATCTTCTTTTGCCCACTGTAAGATAATGGCTTAAGAAGAAAATACTTAAACATTAACAGATATGCTTTTATATGATTAATGTGGGGAAGTAACATTGTTAGGTTTATATACATCTGTGTGGACACTTGTAAGCATTACCTGAATTGTGGGCATCTTCCTAAAGAAAAAATGGTTGATGTGGTTTAGCTATGCCTTATTTCTATATAAAAGCTAGCAATAAATCAACTTTTACTTTGCCTTCAAGTTGGACTATATTGATTTGCCTGCATGTAGTATTTGTGGAAATGGCCGCATCTGACTCTTGATGTTCTACATTTATTTTCTTCCCTTGCTAGATTAATTCTCTCATAGCAGCAGGTGCAGACATGTTGATGCCAATTACTCTTACTGATGAGTGTAGAACTGCAGTGGGAACAGTTGTGGACTATGCATATTTCAAATATTATCAGGTATCTTTTTCAGTCCTTGAAAATTCAAAATATGTTGTGTGAATCTTGCCCTTATAATTAATCAATGGATCTATGCTAAAAGCTGTTTATTTGTTTTATTGCTTTTGCATCCGTATACATTTTCTTTAGCATTCAATTTCAGCTTTCTCTTGACATTGTACTTCAACAAAGATTTGTAGAAATTTAAATCAGATTCCATTCTTGGGAGGAAAAATTAATTCACACACTTTTATTAGTTTTAGCCTCTGCTAAATTAAAGGAAGCAGGTGGGAAACTGATTTGTGAGCTTAGTAATATGTAGCGATACTTAAAAGTTGGAGCTCAACTACTATGCCTGGGGAGTTTACTGTTTAAGAAGCCCTGGATTAACGTATGATGGAAAAAAAAGCATGTGTGAGAATGAATTTAATGCCTTAGCACATAGTTTGGCTAAGACAGAGAAGAGAGTAAGACAGGTTATATGATATCCCCTTGATTATTTAATAAAGTTATGGATAAATCTATAAGGAATGCTTACGGTGACATTAAAGGCATGTTGATTGAATGTGGGTATTCTTTTTTTATGATACGTTGTATTGCTGGATGAGTACCTGAATGATATACAATGAATATTAGAGTGTGTGATAGAATGATGAATATAGATGTGAAAATTAATTTATCAAAGATGAAGATAATTGTGTCTGACATAAACACCAAAAAATTACAGCATGGAGATGAATTTGTATACCTTGATAGAATGTTTATTGAAGATGGGAAAATAGATGGATATATTTTGTGTAAATACTACTAGAAAGGTAGTGTGTGGTATGTACAGTACTCTGTTTTGAGGAATGTAGATTTTTGCTACTGTTCATTTCATTATATGGAAGTGATATGGAAATGTATGTCAGGAAACCATAAAGGTAAGTTGAATAAGGTGCTTAAGTGTTGTGGTAAAACAAGAGAGAGGGTGAAGAATGAATGGGTACTGAATTAATTAATAGATCAAATACAAAAATAAATAATTAGTACAAAAGAACTATGTTGAGGTGATTTAATTATATAGAGAAAATGAATGAGGATCAAACTGAAAAACCAATATCTGAAGGATGAATGGTTGAAAAGAAGGATTGAGAAAGTCATGGTTAGATGGAATTGATCCTTGAGAGAGATAAGGACCTTATAGAAAAGCAGTGTCCTAATTGATATGTGAATGTTCTGGAAACAAGAATGATTTGCAAATGGAAAGATATGGTGAATGGTGTTGATGTAAACTAGATTTATTTAGATTTCCTTTCCCTTTCTCTTTTTCTTTAATGTCATTTGTTTACTACTTCTTACTCTTTGTTGCATTTTATGTATTGCTTACTCTGAAAAGGAAGCATTCATATGTTATATATACTTTTTCACAATTTTTGAAAACAGTTTTCTCCTTTCCCTTTGATCAATGTACATTGATCATCATTTGGTGGTACAATCTGGGATTAAGTAAACCTGCTATGATTCACAAGCATAACAGATGGTTTAGGATGTAGTTGGGATGCTTCAGTAACTATCAGTGCTTCTACATCAGAATTCTATATGTGCCAAAAAAGCTGTGCTACATCATCATGGAACTGATAAGGACAATGGATAGAAAGGTGGGATTTGGGTGAACTTTAAAAGGTTGTATGAATAGCTTTTGGGCCCTGACAGATAAGTTGTTTTTCACAATTTTTGAAAACAGTTTTTTCCTTTCCCTTTGAAAACTGTTTTCATCAAAACACACTGGATTTTGACTTTAAGTTTTACACTTCTATTTATAAATTACTTGCAAATAATATAATATATTGTTAGAATATGAAAAGGAATATTATTGTGATGGAATGTATCTACGAAGGGGGAGGTGGTGTGATGGAATGCAGTAGAAACCCAGGTTCTCAGGAAGGAGGGAGCGCATTCCAGGAAGGAAAAGGAGGAGACAAGAGGCAACATAGTTCAGAGAAGGAGCATGTGAAGAAGAAACTTAAGATAGCCACTCCCTAGATTTTCACAGAGTATATCTATTAAGTTAGCATAGTACAGATTTAGTCTGGCAAGATTCTGTCTATATAGTGTAAGCAATAAAAAACTGAAATTGGTTGGGTTGTTTCCCTGTTGTTCTTGGGCTGGGCCTGACAATTATCAATCTCTGTCAAAGGTATATTATTATATATGCAAGAATGGAAGTAGAGCCACTGGTAAATGAATTTCCATTGCATGCAGAAAGATGCACAAAAGGATAGTTTGGACACTGACTTTCTAAATGTGTGCTAGGAAAACTAGAAATTAAGTAAAAATCATAGGTGAGTGATATTGTTTCTATCAGAAACAGATTATAATCTGTTGAACATTTTATAAAGTTGCAATTTCCTGTATTTTATAATTTCATAGTGGGTTTTTTATTCCGGTAATCTTCGGCTTATGACGGCAATTGGGACCTGGATTAGCATTGCTAAGCGACGCAGATGTAAAGCGTGACGTCACATGTCTGTGTTGCTTAGTGACGGCAGGCCTGGCAGCCCAGTGGCCATCGTTAAATGAGGACCATGCAGGTCATTAAGTGAGGACCTCAGCTTCTGACTTCCTGCTGGCTTCCCCACTGAATTTGCTTGTAGGAAGCCAGCAGGGAACATCGGAAATCGCAATCACATGACTGTAGCTCGCTGCACGTCATAATCATGAGTTGGGCACCAGGCGCCTGGATCATAATTATATGACTCTGGGGATGCTGCGATGGCTGAAACCACGAGGACCCATTGTAAGTACCATTTGTTCAGGACAGTCATAGCTATGAACAATCACTAAATGAATGGTTGTAACCTGAGGACTACCTGCATCATTTTTATGCACATTTCCTAGTTACATAGTAAAAACAAACATATAGTGCTTATGCGTTATAGGATAAAAGACTGTTGCATACTCCCCTCCATGCTCTGTCGCAAGTAGAGAGGGATACTTACAACTTCCGACGAAAGTTACTGGATTTTCTCAGTGAACAGCTTCGTGAGTGTGTCAATGCAAAAGAAAAACAGTGGGATAAAGAAGAACTTAGGAAAATCAAAATTGGTGAGTCCAAGTTAGACTTTCAAATTAAAAAAAAGGAAAAAAAACAATATAAAACAGTTCTAGACTGGTATAAGAATACTTAGGGCAAAAGTGTTTTCTTTCAACTAGAGATTATTTAAAATTATGGACCTAAGATGTTACACTTAGGATGCAGTAATACTGCATTGCCAACTTTTCTTCTATCACCGGGGGAATGTGGTAATACAATATCATCTTGTTACCTTTTTGTATTTGCAAGGTATACTGTGCTGAGAGGAAAAGATGAGGCTAAAGGTATTGATGCTTATCACACAATCTTTATAATGTTTAATTTCATCCTCAGACATTGAAAGTTGTATGGCTTCTATTTTTATTTAAAAAATTGGCTAATATTGCTAACAGTTCTGAAAAATAAGATTGACTGTGATGTTTAAAAAAGCAACAACAGCTCTTACAGGATCAGTTTTAAGTAAATAATAATAATAAGCAATCCCAAAACACCTGGAGTACCACTTGAAGACCATCGGCATTGACAAAATCACCATTAGTCAATTGCAAAAGGCAGCTTTACTTGGAACAGCTTACATACTGCAATTATATCTTTAGCACCATCAAAAAACATCTGCCTATCCCAGGTCCTTGGGATAAAAATGCCAAATCCAGTCTAAACATCTGGCTGACTGTGCGACCAACAATAATAATAATGTTTGCATTTCAGCTTCTGCAGGAGTAAGAAGGAAATCTACAAGTGGTTCTATAGGAACATCACTAGAAATAGATCCAACAAGGTCAGTCCTGTGAATCAAAATATAGCTTGTTTTTAGTTGTAAATCTCTATGATAGATGGTTTTAGTATTGTTTTCATCACCAATGGAACCAGACATATAAACTGTTCTGCTTCAGAACTCAGAATGATGTCTTCTTTAAGCCATTTGGTCTATATTTGGCTTCTGAAAGAGACATAATAAATCCAAACATGAGCCCCTTTCTTTGTTTTAAATTTAGTATCCATAATATTGTCACTGTGTGTTACATATGTATAGTATATGTATGTATATATATGTGTGTGTGCGTGTATCTATACACACACACACACACACACACACACACACTGGACATAAAGTGCATAAGTAGTTTATTGTACATTCCTCTTACCAGATCTCTGCAACAAACTTTAAATTCAGTGTTCAGAATTCTTGAGTATGATGTGAAAATGATTAGCTGAAAAATAAGAAAATAAGCAGTAATAAAAGTTGTTTATATGTCTGGTTCTGCAGTTTATTGACTGTGTATACTGACAAAGTTGTAAGAGATTAGCTTTTTTAATTTGAGGGAGCTTAATTAGAAAACTGTAGTGGGCAGCACAGTGACATCATTAATGAAACAAATGCTATAGAGCAAAACCCCATGCCACAGAATCATATATGTTCCAACTGTTTAATATATGAGCAAATTTCTTTGTCATATGTGTGTTCCAAGAAGTTAACATATTACATCACTGATTTTGTTTGTTACCATGGCTTTTTTTTTTTTTACAGATTGCCCTTCTTTAAATACTGCTACCAGTGCGGGCGATCTGTTGGTGTGACCCTTACACCTTGTCCACATTGTTTGGAGATCTTCACTTGCAGCAAGTCCTGCAAAGTCAAGGTTTGGAATGAACGGCATAAGCGAGAGTGTTTACAAACAGGTACGTGGGTGTGATGGCATGCAGAACAAAGTGGGACTTAGACGGGTTGCAAAAATCTTGCAATTAGTTTATTCTAGAAAGAAATGAAATGTCCTTAAAAATGTAAGTAATCCCATTTTATTTAATTAAATTATTAGCTGTAAAAGTCAACTAGATTACTTATCCTTATGAAAACTACTCAGTGATTGAATTGAGACAATGACTTGTACAATGCACATATAATTTGTTATATTGTGTTGTGGAGGATAAATAGAGATCTAGTAAAATTTATTTAATTTTTTGAAAACATTTATATGGTCACCCATCTTAAACCAAACTCTGGGCAGCTCCCAAAATAAAACTATATATATCAACAGTGAAAGAAAAACATTAAAACAAAAAACAAAAAAAACGATTTGGCACTACAGTTGTTAATCGTTCCCATGTAGCCCACAACAAGTTCATCCCATGCCAGTCTCACCTTATCTCAGCGCTGGGGGAAACACCAGATCTTCAGTACTTTTCAGAAAGTTAAAAGGGTAGGGGCCTGCTGTACCTTTGGAGGAAGGGTGCTCCATAGGTCAGGGGCTGCCACAGAAAAGACACACTTGTTAGGTCCCATAAGATGGCAGCATTTAAGGGAAGGGACCAGGAGCATGCCTACCTAATTCTATTTGAAGTGGTCCTGCAAATAACCTGGTCCTGTGCCATGTAGGTCTTTAAAGGTAATAACCAGTACCTTGAATTGTACCTGGAAGGAAACTAGGAGCCAGTGTAGCTTGCCCAACAGAGGTCTAATGTGGGCAAACCTAGGGGCGCCCAACACTGTGTGGGCTACTGTATTCTGGGCCAGTGTGATACACTTTGAACTATTCCATCCCAGTCTGACTACTATAGTGCTACTGCTTTTCCTATAGTACTCTAGTTCAGGCCTGAGTATATAGCTTGCTGATTTTAAATTTGTTTCCTGTTGCATCTTCTTGTTTGTAGTATAGAAGATTTCTTTTAAAAATGAGAGTATGGCTAATTAGATCCTTAATTTGGGATTAATTAGGTTTGGAGCTTTTCTTTTCCTTACACATCACTGATTCTACCCTAGGTTCTGTTCATTTCAGATGGGTAACTGCCCTTAATAGGAAGGTGGTACCTAGCCAGAGTTTGGGAGGAAGTTAGACTATGTAAGACAAATGGATAATAACTTCACAATGCACATTACTTAAACTTAATTCCTTCCTGCACATTATATGTAGTTTTAGGAACTTAGTTGCCCCAATCTTCTTTCTTATGCTTATTTCAGCTAACATTTTGTGGTCCAACATTCTGTGACTGTTGGACTGCAGTAACCATGCACAGATCTCCTTTTAGCCTTCTTTCTTTATAAATTCAGATGTGCGTACTAGTAATATCCATCAAAAGTGTAGCTTTTTAAAGCTATGGGTGGTCCATTTTTCTGCCCTAATGTTCCCAGAATCTGCAGAACCCATCTGCAGAATTACATACTATATTAGAAGTAATAATTGTATTTCTTAGATCTAATTCAGACCTTAAAGTTCCCACATGAGTGCTGTTATAGGGGATATATAACAATCCTGAAGTAATTGTTTGAGATGCTGTCATAATACCAAATTAAGCAAATTATTTGAAAAGTACTTTGATTTGGATACTTTAATTGGGCTGAACATGCTTTCTTCCATCTTTAGAATGAGATAGAGAAAATCTGAGGAATAATGTGTGAATTGTACACTTTAATGTACAAAAATATAAGGTTAAACTTGCAGGTAGAGCTGAATTCTTGAAAGATAAAGCTGGATTCATTGAACACCTGGATTTGAAAGACAAGCAGAAGACTGATAGGAGAATGACCTTCAAAGACAAAGGAAGTCTCATTCAAATGAAGAAGCGAGGAGAGAGCCATGCAAGAGGAATCTTATTATTTTATGGACTGTGTGTAAGCTATGTGCCAAGAAGTGAAGTATGCCTAGTCTGTACATGGATATGGTTTTGTTTTGACAATTGTGTGTTTTCCTTAAAGGGGTGCTGTTTAGTACTTTTAGAATTTAATCTAGCAATTTATATTGTGTGTTCCTCAATATATGTTAAAATGACACGATCAAGGAATGAAGATGCAAAAACAGATTCCACAGAGAATATGGCATAAAAATCTCATTTGGATGGAGAAATCAAAGCAAAGCATTTTCCAAGCTTCCAGAAACTGAAATAAAGAAATGTTGTGTCTGCATAAAAGATGGATATTGGAAAGCAAAAACTAATATCACAGTGATCAGTCAGATGTGACTGGGAAGCACACGAGCAGGACATGAATATAGTATCATTCTCTTCCTCAAGTTCTTCAGCTTCTGGATTTGAAAAATTGCCTTTACTCTGAAGGAGGCATAATGCCAGCAAAAAATGTTGTTGTCCCTCTTAAGAGTCAACCAAATTACTGGGTTTCACAACACCTCGCAATGAATCGTGCTGTGTGAAGGATTTCCTTTTTGCTGCTTCAAATCTCTTAGGATTCAGCTTTAAGCTTCATTGGATGTCCCATGTTTTAATATTAACAGAAAATATGGCAGTGTTAACTCTGAACCCCAAATTTGGTTTCCACCCAAAACCTGTTCCAAAAATTTGCACCAGTTTTGTTCTGCTTTGTTCTACCAAGCCCAAGTTTTATATTCCTCATGGCTAGAAGATATCAACACTTTAGATTGGAGTTTAGAAGAAACCCTTACAAAAGCAGTGTTGCTACACTTATTCAAAATCTGTGTCAAAGTTTTGTACCAGTTTCGTACTATTTTTCTCAAGTTTACTTTGCACACCACCACACAATGTGGGTCACTGACTTCCCTTCAAGCTATAGAGCACCCTACTGGTAATGTAGTTGACCCCAAATCATAGCCAATATTTTGTATCAGTTTTAGATCATTTTGTTCTACCAAGCCAAGCTTGTGTACTGCTATAATTAAAGGGATTCAAATTGAGAAAACACCAACAAAAATGTTGTTGCATTCACCTATACTTCTATCAGAGTGTTGTACTTGTTTTCTGCCATTTTGTCACATCAAGCCTAAAATTTTGTACCATCCTACAAAGTGGGGAACTAGCATGCCCCCTAACTTTTATGTTCTACATAAAAGTGTGCTATTTACAATATCAATGAAGTTTTCCACACACACTATGGAAGGAAGTTGCCTAATACTGAGCTTGTGAGAGGTTAAAGTTAAATTTTCCAGATTGTGGTAAAATCTTTTTGCTCACAAAGGTATTGGATCAAACTTGCAGTCTGAAAATCAAATAAGTGTTTGGTTATCATCCTAGTTCTTATCAGAAGAAAGTTAAATGAAAGCAGTTAATACAGCAAACTGTAGAAGATTGAGAACATGTAGTCCTTTCCTCGGAAGCATTTACTGCAATTACTTTTTGCCTCTCAACATTGAACCTCCTTCAATGCTGAAAATTCCACAATACAGAATTGTGGAATTAAGAGTCTGATAAATCATCATTTTCATGCTGAGGTATGGATTTGAACTCAGTTTTTTATAATGGTTCATCCTTTTGACCATGTATGGTACAGTGAGATTTCCATAGTTCAAATGGACTCGGCTGTGGCAGCGGTATTATCCAGTGGTTCTTCTGAATGGTGATAAGGACAAAAATCTCATCACATGAATGCCTAAAAGTATGTGGTGGAATATGATTTAAATGAATATGATTTAAGTTACTCGAAAATGTACTTTTCAGATACATCTATTGGTGTTAATGTATAGAATTTCCAGTTATCAGTGATGTGGTAACCTGAGAACACACACACATGAACAGTGTTAGCAGTACATCATATCTATATTGTTTTCATGTTTATATACAAAAACAGATTTCCCACAAGATGATAATACTAAAAAAAATGATATGAAATCCTAGAGTTCATTGAAAAGTCAAGATGGCAATTTTAGCAGCATGAACAAAGCTTCATTGTGCTGCCGCAGTTGCCTTTTTTACTTTTTGAACACCCACCTGAGGATGCTGCTGGCTTGAGGAGTCAGCTGCTGGTTCACAGAAATATTTACTTCTAAGGAATAGTCTGTATCTCATTTAAGACTATCCTTACATCAACTTCACTTTAACTTTTCCTTTTGAAGAACACAACTTGAGTTTAAGGATTTTAAGACATTAAATTGTTCATGTGCACGTGGATTAAGGTAACTGCATAAAATGTTTAAATGTTTAAAATATTTAATATCTAAGATTTAAAATTTATATTTATTGTACTATATATGTTGAAAATATTGCTCTGTACTTTAAGAATGTATTTAAGAGGATCAGAATTCTTTGTAACTTTTAATTCAATAAAGAAATAAATCACATTATTGGATTTTAAAATACATAGAAACACAGATTATTTGAGGCATACATAATCTTCAGTCATACTACTGAACATTCTGAAATGTCTTTGCAACTTGTTTTATTGCTGCAAAAGAGAGTACATCTTCACTTAAGACTGAAGAAGAATTCCCACCTGTTAGGAAGGGTAAGTAAATTTCCATTACTAAGCTCTTTCATTAATCACATTCGGTTTTGCTGTTGTTTCACATAGAGTCATAGAATATAGGGTTGAAAGGGATCTTGGTAATCATCTAGTTCAATTCTGTGCTCAGAATCCATTGCTACAACATATTCAAGAGATGGCCATACATCCTTTGTTTAAATACTTCCAGTGAAGTAGGGTTCCCCACCTCCCAAAGTACAGGCATACCTCGGAGATATTGCGGGTTCGGTTCTAGCCCATCGCAATAAAGCGAATATCGTAATAAAGCAAGTCACACAAATTTTTTGGTTTGCCAGTGCATATAAAAGTTACGTTTACACTATACTGTAGTCTGTTAAATGTGCAATAGCATTATGTCTAAAAAAAGCAATGTACATACCTTAAATAAAAAATACTTTATTGCTAAAAAATGCTAATCATCATCTGATTAATAATAAAGAAAAAGTTTGAAATATTGTAAAAATTACCAAAATGTGAA